GGACTAATGATGGATAAGTTATGTATGAAGAGAAAATTAAATTCTATATAAAAATAGTAGTTATGTTCATAAATATCCTGATTTTCAAAAAATATATAATAAGACTTTTTACACCTTAGTTTTAAATATTTATAATTAACTAATTAATTTAATGTGTTTGTGGATAAAAATTTAATATAATATTTTGAACACATTCATTATAATAATTAGGAGATTCAAAAGGCAAAGTAAAAAAGTTGAAAATTTTTGTTTTCCTTTCACTCAAAGTCAATCTTACACCATTTTTGATACAAAAAGTAAATAATCTCCTCTCAAACTTTTAATTGAAGAAACATTAATATTGCACCACGGTTTGCAAAGGATTAATCCCATGCAATCTTTTGATCTTCTGACATTATTCTACCAACAAAAAGAAACTTTTAACACTATCGAGAAATTTAATTTAGATAGTTGTTATCTTTTCCTTTTTGCTTTACAAACTTATTTTTTGACTTATAAATAGAGTTTATTTTATTAACTTCTCATATTATTATCTCGGTGCATTCACTTGGGGGTCATGAAATTGGAGTGTCACAATTAGTAGTAAGACAAAGTAAGAAACCTCAATTAGACATATTTTATAAAAAAGAACTCAAAGGCACAAATACAGGAAATGGTCAGGAAGATATTGAAGATGCTTTACCCATGGATAATATTGGATATAAGAGATTGGCCAGACTTAATTGCTAAAATAAAGGAGTACAGGCCAAAACTATATGTCTACAGTGTTGTATGGAAACCACTAGTGGGTCAGAGACTGAAATGTAATACAGATGGAGCAAGTACGGGAAACCCAAGATTGAGCTCTTTTGGTTACTGTATTAGAGATGAAAGGGGAGATTTGAGATATGCTAATGCAAAAGGCATAGGCATCATAACCAATATAGAGGCAGAAATTTGTGCAATACACGAGGCATTAGAATACAGTTATGATAATGGATTGAGGGAGATAACAATAGAAACAGACTCTTTATGTCTGCAAAGAATGATCCTAAAGCAGTGGAAGGTACCTTGGGAAATAGTGGAAAGGGTAGAGGATATCAGAAAGAGATTACATCAACTAGATGCAAAAATCATTCATATCTTTAGGGAAGGGAATACTGTAGCAGATTCACTAGCTAATGAGGTGATAGAAACACAAGATACAAAAGAGTACCACATTTTTCAGGAGCTACCAGGCAACATACGGAGGTTACTTAACATGGACAAAGCACAAGTGCCTAATTTGAGAATCAGAAACAAGTATATCAACATACAATGGCAGGAACAATGAGGACATGCAATTACAAAATATTTGATATATTAAGGCACAAGACAAGCAGCAATAGTCACATAACCCATCGAATACTTGGCGTCACCATACATAACTATAGCAGATTATTCACAAGGAAGTCATTACATTTGGTGAGCACACCATCAGACAACGCAGAAGGCAACGAAACACGGATGGCAACAATGGAGATCGAAGATTACCTATTCTTCCAGATCTGCTGGCACATTTCATGTCTATACCCGATAGGGCAGCAAATACCAAGGATAGACTTCAAGGAACATTCACCAGCAGCAACAGCGGAAAGAGAGTGGAGAAGGCCATTCAAAACGAAAGCATCAACAGATGGGAATGAAAAGGGACAAAGATTGTTGAGCTCTTCTCAACAATCAGCAGGAGAATCTGACAGAAGGAGTACTTTCCTTTTTTGCTTTGGACCGGGTCTTTGGGCCTGTTTTTTTTCCTTTGTTTGTTTTGGACATGGGTCTTTGGCCAATTTCAGCTAAATAAAACGGTCCTCTGACCACAAAAATTTATATAAAAATAAAATAAAATAAAAATTATTTAATAGTATTTATTTTTTTAAGAAATAATATACTCATTAATAAGTGTTACGCGCAAAATGCGTGCCGAAACACTAGTATATATATATGAGTACTCTCTTTATATATATATATATACAAAGTTTCAAAATAATGTTCAACTTTATAAACAATAATCTTAAGGGGTGTGGTCTACATTCTATCCTTCACTATTAGAATTGTTTTACGAAATATCTTCATTAACTGAGTTGTGAGAACGGGGCACAACACACTGCCAATCAAGCTATCCACTTGTGTGTTCAGTGCCTCTACGATACTGCACAATATTGTATTATTCTGAACAATTAATCCGTCTGGCCTCAACTTCTGTCAATGCACGCGTGAATTGTTTGATCTTCTGCGATATTGCAGTAATCTGAACATCGTCAATTACCTCAATCTAACGTGAAGTGCCAACTCCATCCAGTCATGACTGGATACGTTGCACTTAGTTACATTCCTAGACCATATGACGTAGACACTCCTCTTTTGTACGCCACATACTCTGTCCATATTTTAGTAGCAACATTCGATGAAGGCTGGGATGGCGCGTCCAGGACTTGATGAGTGATCTCATTGTACTCAACAAGCATTGTTGATGAACAACCTACATATATAAAAACAAAAGTTAGTATAAACATATAGAGTCATATTATTACAATTTGTACTAAATTTCAAACTTACATAAGCTTCTTGAGCCCTTGTCTCGACCCATTCATTCACATTCTTCTTCTTTCCTATATGTGTAGCCCGAAACAGCTCATCTTGAATCATCGCACACCCTAAAATTTTGGCCTGCAAAGAATTAATAATCAAATTGTATACCTTAAACTCATCAAACATGGTCTTGCGTATCTCAAAATGGATATGGATGACGATAGAGCCTTCTAATGCTCTCGTTAAGATCGTGTCCATTATAATTTTGATGGATGGAACCTACAAAAAAGATAATAAACATGTTCTCAAATCATACATAAGTAAGATGAATTAAGAAAAGAATAAAACTAAATGAATTTTGAAAAAATTCATTTAGTACTATTACTATTACAACCTCGCGCAATCACCATCACCTGATGATATCTGTATATAAGTTTTACATTAATATAAGAAATTTACAAGTATTAAATAAAGTTATTTTAAAATATTTAACCAATATACTAGTCATCATTCTCCCATTCTTAATTCCTCCTTATCGAAGTCCTTTTGGTAATTAAACAAACATCCAAGTTTGCTAAGATTCTTCAACATGCTAGCCTTGACCGATATCGTGTTCATCATTATCATAGCTAGACATAATCTTGCTCTTCACGTGATCGATATATCTAGAAAACCTGTCTTTATTACTAGTGTCATTATAATTAATATAATCTTTATTTTCCATACAATCTCTTGTTGCAAGCATATGTACAGGGGATCCTGTTTTAGACTCGATTACTTCGCTATGATTGTATTCCACATGTACCTTGTTTGAGGTAATTTGATCCTTTTGAGTAACAACTAGCTTCAATTTTGTGGCTTTAGCAGGGTCGCTTCTGTGATGATGATCACTAGTTGCTATTTTTGATTTGGGATTTCGGGAAAAATATCGAAAAATTGAAGTTAGATGTAGTGATTTGAAAATCTTTTCACATACTCCTTGGCCTTGAGATTGAGTGTCTTTGATGATGGTTTGGTTCTTTCCCATTTTAGAGTACACTTTGGGAGAAGGTTGGATGCAGAGGAGATAGGAGATTATATATTATGGAGATTGATTTATTTAATCATGTTTCTTCTAATATTCCACAATGTGTAATGTAAATTAGTCATTAGTCATTAAGGGAATCATATTCTTGTTTGATATTTTCCTAATTTACAAGATTCCATATGGGATGGTTATTGTTACCATTGTATTGTGTGCCATTGGTTTATATATAAAGTTCTTTTTGACTGGTATTTAAATTTTATTATATCGTATTGTTTAATTCATCATTATATAAAGCTAAAAAAATTTATTTTATGTAACGATCGATTTGATGTGTCAACGTTTTCTTGCTTGGTAAAAGAATCTCATAGTTATTGGTTTGGGAGTCTATGTGAGTCTATGAGGTCAATAGTATAGACCCCTAAATTCTTTCTTGGGCATGAATGAAGCTAAGGAATTAATGGAGGACAGCACTATATATATATGTCAAATCACTTTTTTTGCAACACAATGTTTGGTTAAGAAAATTCCCCACTCACAAATTTCAATTTAAATGCATATTTAAGTATATTTTTTATGCTGTGAATTGTAAAATTTCGTAAATTATTAAGGAATCGTTTGGTAAAGTGCATTAGCAAAAACAATGCATGTATTAGCTTTTGTGTATTAGTAATCTCTAATTTGATATACTTTTCCATGCTATGTATAACTAATGTTTGTATTAGTTATACATTGTATTGAGTAAAAATGCAACACATCTATTTTGGGTACAGAGACATCACACAAAAATCAATAATCAAATTCCATTAATTTTTAGCTTAACTTCAAATACTATTCTCTCTTTTTTTAATCACATTTTTCATGTTCAAACGTCTATTCAATAGTCACAACCTATGCGTAGACTGAAGTTTCAAACAAGACTAAATAGTCATCGGCCAAATATTGAATAATTTTGTCCACTAAAGCTTGAACAAATGAGAATAAATCACCTGATAGTTTTTTATACTCCTTTCGTCCTTTTTTACTTGTCCATACATTATATTTGACTTGACATACCCTTGAGAAACAATAAATAAAAAGATAATTTTATTATATCATCCCTATTGATTACTTATAAGTCTAAATGTTGGAAATGAATAGCTTTTAATAACAAGAATTAAATAAACACAAAATAATAAATTATCTCTTATATAAATTAACACAACAAATTAGTAATGAATGTCAATCTTACAACACCAAAAAACATTAAAAAAGCTTCTTTCCTTTTTCCAAGATTCAATCTTTTTTTCTAATACAAACACAGTATAATAAAAATCAATTATTTTTTTCCTTATTTAACCAAAGTATAAAAAATTATACATATAATTTTGCAAATTATTGTTCAAATAGCTCCATTTGTTCCCCACCAGCAGGCATCAATAGTCTAAATAATGTTGAACTTGAAATAGTAGTAAGTGACTTTATCATCATCAAAACTAGCCATACTTGTCATCAAAACTAGAGATACTTCTCATCTTGTTTTTGACATGATCAATATAATTAGAAAATCTGTCATTATCATCTTTAGGACCTTCATTTATCTCATGATGATGAACTATACTGATCACGTTCTTTACAGAGGACTTGTTCACATCTTTCATAGGTTCACCCTTGAACTTGCGCGTAGTTGCACTATTCCCTCCTGCTATGTGATTATATTCTACGAGCACCTGTTCAGACATAATATAATTAACTAACTACAGAAGTATATATGAAGATACAAAAAAAAAAAAGCTTAATTTTTGTAGTATGTAAGATATTTTGGCCAAAATGCAAAATCACATGTTCGACTCGTACAGTCAAATTTCTTTATAACAATATTTCACTATGACAGATCAAGTTTATCTTTGAAACTAATTTTTCATGTTAGTATGTTATAACATCAAAAAAAATAAATATCTAGACAAACAACGTCGATTAAACATGATCATAATAAATGGACAAGCAATTCAATAGTACCATATTGTTGGAGGCAGTAGACAAGTTTTGAGATGGAATTTGCTGGCGATTTAACTCAAGTTGATCAACAATAGCAACTGGTTTGGATATATTAGCTGTATAATTCCTCTGATGATCTATTTTTGGCTTCGTATTAGTAACAAATTGTGGAGAATTTCGGCGAAATGATCGAAAAGTTGGACTTATATTCACTGCTAATTTGAAAATCTTTTCACAAACACCTTGGCCTTGGGACTCACTCTCTTTGTTTATGATTTGGTAATTCTTTCCCATTTCAATGTTTCAAGAACTAAGTTGTGATTTGAGATGAGAAAAAGGGGGTTGGACAGAGCAAATAAATAAGAGGACTTTAAAGATTTTATATTAATTAATTTAGACCTTAGTTAATCATGTTACTCGTTTTCGTGTGAATAATTAATTGTTTAATTCCATTGAGGCTAAAATTTCAAGGAGATATTCCTTATGGGCCATATTAACAGACAAATTAGCTTCAAGATTCCACACAATTCACAAGGTTTAGATAGTCATTAAGGGGATCATATTCGCGTTAATAACTTTCCTAATTTACAAAAAGATGGGAATCGAACTCTCACCAGCAAGGTGACTGTTCGAATTATCTGATAATCAACCAACTGATCAGCTACTATGATTCTCCATATAATTTTACTTAATGGTTTAGTAATAAGAATGTAAGTTAAAATATGGTAAAACTTAATAGTTGATGTACTTTCCTAATTTTACTTAATAGTTGATGTACTTTTCTAATTTAACGTACATCAACTATTAAGAAAGTGCAATTTGGTAAAGCTTGGAAGCCAATTAGTAAGTACGTACGATATATCAAAGTACAAATACAATTGCCAACATTATTTATTACATATAAAAATTTAATTTTTTTGGTAAAATATGGACCTACGTCACAGTGGGCTCGTAATAAAAAAATCATCACCAAACAGAAAGGAGAAGCATCAGATACTATACTGCTTCAAAGTCTAAAAGTAGCATTCAGCAAAATTTCAATGGGTTCATACTTGTAACAAGAATCTCATTATTTGTGTTGGAGACTCGGAAAGACGAGCATAATCAAAGACGAAACTAGAATTTTGAGTTATGAGCTCCACATTTGAAAATAAAAATAGTTATTAGGTTGTCAATAAACTATATATACATATTAAGTGAATTTTTAATATGAATATATATTACTGAATTATGTCGAACTTGTAATTGAAAATTTGAAATGCTAGCTCCGCTCGTGACGATAATGCGAACACCCTGCCTGAATCATTGGGTATAAACGAAGACGCGCAAGGAACAGAAAGAATAAAGTAAAAAGCAATACATCCCACCATAATAATTTGTATCCGTAAAGAAAGAAATACTCAAAATAAAGTGAAGAAAGAATAATACTTATGTGTCGATAAGGGAATTAAGTTACTGTTGGATAAATAAATCATAGATAGGTTGTTGCCACATAGTATATAATAGGGAAAATTGTATGAAATAACAAATAATTAATTCAAATTAAATGCTATAATCATAGTTTATTTTAATTGTAATTCGTAGTAAACATCCCATTTTTTTGTCATTTGATTCGGAATAAAATTAGTCATTTTCGGTATACAATTAGTCATTTTATACATTTCGGTATAAAATGTATAAAATGCATTTATGTTTGTATAAAGCGAGAGAAAGTCTATATACAAATACATATATTTTCGTCCTATACACTTATAATTATACAAATACAGATCTTATTATACAATTACAATGTATAAATGAATTTATACAAAACTGAACAATTTGTATAAAACTGGATGTTTGTAGCGAATTATACAAATCAAAAGCTCTATAGCAAACCAAAAATTTTCTATGAAGCGCAATTATGCAAACTATAGCTATAACATACAAATATAATTTTTATGTTTGCTATATGTGAAAGTCGCTCATAATAATAATATTATATATATATGAAATGAATAACTTACAAAATGCTCTCACGTTTTTTCTTTGATTCTTCCGGCATGGGAAGGCCCCATATATATCGCTATCGGTAATTAACATTATTAGTCAACATTATATATCGCTAATCGTCATCATCATTAGTTATCACTTATCAGTATTCAATATCATTCCAATACTAATTATTAGTCTTGCCACCATCAATCACAGTTAATCACTTTTGCCAACAACTAAACCATCAGATACTATCCACAACCACCATCATTAGTCAACACCTTCCCAAATCAACACACAAGCTAAGCACTATCGTTAGTCAAATATTTTATTGATATAATATTAGATCAACTTAGTATTTTATTTGATTAATTTTATATTTATTATTTTTTAAGCAAAGCAAATTTTTATATTCAGATATTGAGAAAACAAACAGTCTTAACTATTTAGTATTCAGATCTTAATGCAACATGTTGAAAATGTATTATTTGTTTTTTATATATTAATATTAAAAAAATATACATTTATTAGCTATTATTTCAAGTAGACGGTTATTTATGGCAATTTCTCTTATCTAAGAAAGTAAAAATTACACAAATCCTATAGTGTTAAGAGGTAATTACATCATATCCTTACTCTTTTCCAAATTACAAAAATCTCTTAAAATGTAAGGATTTTGGATACATCACTTACTCCCCGATACATTACCTTTGTTGATACAAGACACAGATGTCCCGATATATCGCTCAACGTTTTGATACATCGCGTCCCAATACATTACCTTTGTATTATTTTTATTATCCCGATACATCGCGTAAGAGTGGTGTATCTGAGAATAGGAGAGAGAGTCAAGAAAAAAGGATTTTTTTCAAATGAGAGAAAATTTTAGAGAATACGGTAAAATAAATTGTGTGTTTTGATAGTTTTTCCTTCTAGAAAAGGGGAAACTATATAAATGGGCCACAAAACACAAAATAATTATAATCTCATAGCTCAATCCAAACTAATTCAACATATATACATTTACCCAAAATAAATTACAGTTCATGGCCCCTTTAGTTTAAGCCAAATTCACACCCAAACCCAATGTTTTGTCCTACTACAAAAAAAAAGGAATTTTGGCCACACGAGAACCGTGGCAAAATGATACACAAATCGTGGCTAATTTCATTTCTCATTTATTGTTTTGTCTAGAGGTGTTCACGGGTCGATTTGGATTGGTTATTGGTCAAAATCAAAACCAAACCAACTTAATCGGTTTTAAAATTATCAAAACCAAACCAAACCAAATATAATATACATTTATCGGTTTGGTGGTTATCGGTTTCGATTTGATTTGGTTAGGTTATTCGGTTATTAACCGTACACAAAATTAAATAAAAGAAACAATTCATTCAAAATGTGAAAAAGTGACAACAATCCATTCAAAACAAAAAATAGTTAGAATGACTTAAATTACCAAACTTTCGATCACTGAATTTACTATCAATAAAGCTTTAAAATTCACTATATTGGCCTAAAAGGAAGAGACAATAACATTTTCAGTCTCACAAAGAATTGTACTCATATACATGAAATCAATAAGAAAAATGTTTTCACCTTGGGTATTCTTGCTTTCAATAAGTAAAGTTTAAGGGCCTGTTTGGAAGGACAGCTTGATAATTGGATTTGGTGTGATTGGTGTAATTACACTATCTTATCCTGTTTGGAAGGACATGTAATTACTTGGTCAGCAGGTAATTGGTGTAATTGGCAGGGGGTAATTACACTCTACAATTCACAGGCAGAGGCTGTGAATTGCTGGTAATTACATGGTGTAATTACCACCTGATTACTTTTTCATTTTTTTTAATTTCTATTTTTTTTTTACTTCTATTATTTTAATTTCTTTTTATTTTTATTTTTATTTCTAAAAAATTGTAAAAGTCTATTTTTTATTTTTTATTATTATATTTCATTTTATTCTTGTTCTCAACCTTACTTTACGTGATTCTACGTAATTTTCTCGTATTATCTATTTCTTTATGCCATGTTTATTTTCTCATTAGCATAATTTTATTAGTATTCTAATTTTTTAAAATTAAAATAGAATTTATTGTTAAGTAAGGTTATAGACTTACGTTTTCTTTATTATGAAGAAATAAAAATAAATCATATTTATTGCTATGTTGAAATTTGTTATAAGAGTATTATGTTAAATTTTTTGTTTTGAATTTATTACTTATGTTATATTTTCAGTTTCATTTGTTTTAGTAATATTGAATTTACATTGCACGTCATTTTTTAATTAGACTTGATAGATTATATTTTTGTCAAACATTTAATAATTTATGATATTTTATTTATATATTACTATTCTTTTTATCAAACATGCATTTCACAATGTTCGTAGAAACTTCATACTTTTAGTTGTTACGATCAATTCAATTGAAATATATTAATTTGAAAAAATATAAATCAATTATTTTTTCATAATATTAGTTACAGTAAATATGTTTATTAATTAATATATTTTCAAAAAAGAATATATATCTTAAATATTTAATTTAATGTCATTTATAAAATTTCTTATTTGTCTAGTATAAATTTTAAATGATTAATTTTTATTTTTAAAATTTATTATAATTTTATAATTGCAATTGTGCATCCGAATAGAACATATGTAATTACACTGTGGCATCCAAATATGACATGTGTAATTACAGTGTAATTACACTGTGGCAACCAAACAAGTCAGTGTAATTACTAGGTTGGTAATTACTACCCTAGTAATTACACCAATTCCAATTACCTGGTAGCTTTCCAAACAGACCCTAAAGAAATTTTAATGGAAACATATATAAGATCTTTAAAATTGTTTATAAAAACAATATATTAAGTATGTATATTAATAAAATATATGTATGAAATTCATCGGTTCGATTCGGTTATTTCTTCATTTTTTTCGAATAAAACCATAACCAAACCAAATACTACCGATTTTCAAAAATCTAAAACCAAACCAAACCAAACTCAAATAAAATCGTTTTTATTTTATCGATTTTGTTTGATTTTTTGGTTTGGATCAATTTTTATCCAAACCGTGAACACCCCTAGTTTTGTCCTATCATTAATTACTTTTAATTTTTTTCTCATTTATTATTTTTATTTATACTTTTGTTCTTTTCTCATTTATTATTTTTATTTTTATTTTGGTTCTTTTCTATTTTTTTATTCTTTTCAGAGATACCATTTTGTAATGATTTTATTATTTTCCTTCTTTCTTTTCTTCTTCTCTTTTTTTTTTTTTGGTCCTTCTTTCCCTTTTTTCGTTAGTTAATCTTCTTATTAATT